TAGCATAAGGACTTCTGCTAGGCCTAATAACCCCTGTTTGAAGCATCTGCTCAACCAACTTCTCCATAGCCTCCATGTGAGCATGTGGGTAACGATATGGCCTCATACAAATAGGCTTTGTACCCGGTTGCAAACGAATTGAGTGTTCATAACCTCGCTTAGGAGGAAGTGCTATTGGCTCGGCAAAGACTTGGTGAAAACCCTCCAGAAGTGATTGTATTTGTGGTACCACTACTGGTAAAGATGCTGTAGAATCCTCCATATTCTGTAATTGAAGGACCACTGAAACCGCATCTAAAGAGTCAGTCTTATTCAGAATCGTTTCATCCCCCTGCAACGTAAACTTCTGTTGCCCAATCCAGTAAGATAACTCTTGAGTCTCCCAATTCACTTCGCACTTACCCAGGGTCCTCAACCACTGAACTCCTAGTATAACATCCACACCTCCAGGTTCCAACACAATGAAATCATTGGTTAAATCAACTGATTGAACCGTCAACGGAACCTTCTTACACACTCCAGTGCCATTCACAATAAAACCAGTCCCCACTTTGATCTTGATTTGCATATCATCTTCTTGAATCAAATGAGCCTGAGATACAATGGTTGGAGAGATGAAATTATGTGTCGCTCCACTGTCAATCATGACCAACACCTTAGTTGTGCCAATAACACCCCACATCTTCGTTGTTTTAGGAGCAGACAACCCAAAAAATGAGTACAAAGATAACTCCATAACCTCTGCAACCGTCTCATTAATATCTTCTACTGTGTCATGAAATTCCTCTTCAGATAATCCCATATCACCCTCCGTCAACACCACCATCACATGTAATCCTCTGTTTCTACACACATGAGATTTCGACCACTTTTCATCACATGTATAACAAGTACCCGTCTTCCTCTTCGCCGCATACTCGGATTCAGACAGCTTAAAAGGAGTTAAAGAAGAACCACTTGATTTAGTAACACCTTGTCCTTCAACACCTCTCCCATTCTGCTGACTTGTATCAACCCCTTGAGTCTTATTCCTCCAAGTACTCTGATTCAACGGGGCATTTCTAAAAGAAACCGCTTGACCTTGCTTCACAAAACGATTGTCATTGGACTTGCCCGAGAACATCTTCACAAAATCACTATCCTCCATCATGATAACCGCCGCAATATAGTTAGGCAAAACAACTGGTTCCTTCATTTTAATGACCTCCTTATACTCTCTGCGTAGGCCATTGAAAAAAATATCCTCCAAGTTTACCTCCTCCACTCTAACCTGAGTTGCAAGCTCTTGAAACTCCCTAACATATTCTTTGATGGACCCCGTTTGCCGAATACCAAACAGCCTCTTTCCCGGAGTTTTCTCATAAGACTCTGCAAATCTTGCCAACATCCTCTTCTTGAAATCCACCCAGTCAGAAAACGGTCGATGCTCAACCTCATAGTTATACCAACTCAAAGCATCTGCATCAAGACTCAACGAAACAATATCCATTCTAGCTTGCATTGTGTGCTGACCGATTCGAAAGAACCGTTCCGCTCGAGCAATCCAAGAAAACGGATGTGCTCCATCCAACACAGGCATCTCCACTTTCTTGAGTAAATTTTCTCGACTAGACAAATCAGAACCACCAGATCGATAACCTAGCTGAGTAACTTCCGGATTCGTTCCCAGATTCGAAGAAGGTACCTGATCGAAGATTTGTGAAGAACTAGGTTGAGTCGCACTCACCGGTGCTTTACCGTGAATCGCTGACGTCAATCTCTCCATTGATTTCGCCATCTGAAGTAAAGACGATTCAATTGAATCTAATCGCTTTTCCGTCGCCGTCGACGCCTCAGAGAGAACTTTGAAACCTCCTGTCAAATGTTGAAGTTGTTCCTTCGCGCCGTACATCGACGCTTCAAGTTCGCCGATTTGCGCCGCCGTCTCTTCCGTCAACAAAGTCGCCATATCCGATCGTCACCGCACCAATTGTTAAGAACAAATGTTTGTATTATTGATCTCAACAAGTCGAATACAATCTCTAACCGCCAAAACGGTATAGAGCCAAATTCCTGTAGAACAAACTCTACCAGGACCGAGATACAATTTACAAAATTGCACGAAATGACAACAACTCTACATTATTCTATTTATAGTCCTCCTGCTGACTCAGCGTCTTGTAACAACNGTAGAACAAACTCTACCAGGACCGAGATACAATTTACAAAATTGCACGAAATGACAACAACTCTACATTATTCTATTTATAGTCCTCCTGCTGACTCAGCGTCTTGTAACAACTTTAACAACCACCCTCCACGTCATTAACTCTTCCCTCCTTCGCTGTAACATTCTTCTTCCTCACGTAACACCTACGAGGCCTATCAGATATTCACTTTAATTGGATTTGCTACAATACAACAGAGATTTGACCAGAAACTAGACCTTTCTGACATATTTTATCAAATAACGTCAAGGTGTTCTTTTCTCCGTTCTTCATGTAATATTTATTCATGGATATATCTGTAGGAAAATGTTATTTTGTTTCTCTGAGCATTGTTTTCCTTGATAAAACTGAAACAGGTTTGATAGCTTGCGAGCCACTCCAAGATCTCTTCTTCATGTCCTTGCTAGAGGAGAGGACCCTCCAATATGTGGTTACTCTCCTTTTATAACTATCTCTATGTTCTTAGCTTTGTCTTCCTTGATATACTGACACAGGTTTGATATATGTTCTGAGCCTATCCTTCGTGGAGCTGAAGCTGCTATATATGTTTCAAGACCGGACTAGCCCCATCTTGAGCAAAATCATTTTCTAGATGCACTCTCTTGCTTTGATGAAGCATTTTCTTTTTTTGGCTCTATCTAAGGGATCAATCACGTGACGCATCAGACCTTAAAGCTCAAGCCACTATTTGTGCTTAGTACAAACTACAAGCTAGCCGTAACGCTCCTGCGGATACAAGATCCCATAACAGAGAAGGGAACATAACTTTTCTCTTTTCTTTGTATTGCAAGAAATTTCAAGGCTACAAAGAGATCCATGCATAAACTGCATACGCGCAGCTATCAATTACGAAACATGGAGATCCAAAAACCTATGGTTACTCCAAGATAATGCTGTCATCACCAGGTTGCACCAGCACCTTTTGGCTGAGGTTATTAGTATTACACAGGCCAGCACATTCTTGATTATTACTAAATGATTTGTAATTTGCGTCGGTGATATTAACGACAATATAAAGGTTTCACTAGTTTTTTTGGTAAGAAAAATATTTTGAGCCTTTAAATTGTATTTATTGGGCCTGGTCGAGGCTATGTGTAACAACAAACCCTATAAATTCCTAGACTTCTTCCCTAATCATTTCATCATACCTCTAAACACAGCCGTAGGTAATTCATATATATCTCTTGTTTGGATCATCTTCTTAGATGTCTCTTCCTTTTTCACATATCTACTCTGTACATTTGATTTTGGGGCTGTGATAAACGTTATCTAGAACTTACTAGGTTTTGATCTTTAGGGTTGATGAATCTTTGAAATTCTCTATGGCTTTAACCGTTAGTGTTTTTTTTTGTTTTGTTGGTCTCGTTACAGGAACACATGATGTATAATATGATGAAGTCTGGAAAAGGTTGCGTCTTCCTAACATCAATTGTAAGAAATTGCATTCCCTCACGTCTGCTCTGCACAAACCCCGATTTTGGCGATGATTTTATGGAATGGGATAGTAGGCCTCTCCCTGAGGAACTCGCGGTAGATGTCCTTGGTAGACCATTTCCTTGTGAGAGAGTCTTGTCCGTGATTGAGAGTATTGAACGCCTACCTAAAAAAGAAAAATTCGAATATAGGTTTATATTTAGTGAAGCGTTGGGGCTTCCAACCCCTCCCAAGACTCCAAAAGGAGCAGATGAGAGGTTTCTTGTGAAGTTGGTTAAGTTTGATAGGCCTAATTTGATTCCTGTGCTTAGAGAACTTGCAGATGCCAGAGCTACAGAAGATAAGACATCATTGTCCCAGTTTTACCTGGGCGATTGTTATCGCATTGTGAACAATGTCCCTTCCATTGTCAAAAAATATGTCACAAAGGAAGAAGCTGAAGATATTGTTGCAAAGCTCAATGCCGCTGGTGGACTCGCTGTTGTCGAGGAGGTGGTGGAGAAGGAGGAATGATTGAAAAATCATCTTTTTTCTAATTATGTTTTTTCTTATAAATAATTTTGCTTTTTATGATCTACCTGTTGTAAGACTTTTAATCTTTTTGCTGCAACCTGGTTAATCAATTCAAGACTCTCTAATAAGCACCTAGCGTCACACTACAAAGGAAAGTACACTGCATGATCCAAACTAGAGGTGGGACGGATCGGATATCCGGGGTATTTTGGGATATCCGGATCCGGATTCGGCAGATCCGTAAAATTGATATCCGGATCCGGATTCGGGACTTCCGGATATCCGGATCCGGATTCGGGACTTCCGGATATCCGGGATTCGGATATCCGGACTAAAACTCGAATACCCGCGGATATCCGGATCCGTTTTTTTTAAAAAGAAAAATTAAAAAAATCAAAATTAAATTTAAAATTTTAAAATTAAACATATATTTATTCAATTAAAAATTTATTTTTTTGCAAAAAAGTTTAAAAAGCTAATAAAAAATTAATAAAACTAAGTTTTAGTTATTTTAATAAAAATTATATATAATATATCTATATAAATTTAATTATATTTTAAATATTTTAAAAATATTTAGTGGGCCCGGATCCGGATTAAAATTTTCACTATCCGGATTTGCCGGATCCGCAAAATCACTATCCGGATCCGGATCCGGACCCCCCGGATATCCGTTTTTTCGAAACGGATCGGGACGGATCCCGGATCAGATAGCGGATATTAAGTCCCAGCCCTAATCCAAACTATGTATGGTTTACTCCAAGCAAAATGTTGGATGGAACCACCCCTGATCTTAAAGCCCACTGGGCTTTGCATTATTATAATAATATAATTATCTTTTTTTATTTATTTCTTTATTAGACCCATTGGTTTGGCATGAGAGCCTGTTAACAAGTTGTGAAGAAGAGGAGGACCCTTAACAAAAAAAGACACAGACTCTTCTTCTTCAGCAAAACACGAGCTTCTACCTTCTCTGACTTGCTTAAACCTATCCATCAAATGAAGCCCCGTCAAGTGATCTCCCCATATATCATACCTATAATACTCTTCTTCTTCTTTCTCTACTTCACCTCTTGATTTCTTGGCTCCAGGAGCTCTCACATTTGGAGCCAAAGAGCTGATCACTGACTTATTAGCCACCGAAACAGGAAACGTTGCTGCATGCGATAACACAGGTTTTGGAGTCAGCTTCGTTGGGGTTTGAGTAGTAACAACAACTGGTGGTTTTGGTGACATTGGAGATCTTGGAGTTGAGTTCCCACTCTGACTACTTGAAACATCTGTGCGCTCCGATGTTAACTCAAGGACTGCTCCCTTCTTCTTCTTCTTCTTGTTACGCCTTCTCTTCGTAGTCTTTACAGTGAGGTTCACAGCTTCTGCTTGAGAAGAAGAAGATGCAGAAACTGGCTTTATACTGCTCTCCGAAACCACCTCACTGGACCCTTGCAACGTCTCTTTGCTTATGGATCTTAGCAGAGTATCCATTTCAAGGGAGATAGTGATGGTAGTAGATGGCTTCGCAACTTTTTTAACCGCAATGTTGTTTCTCTCTTCGATGAAGTGATCGTTGAAGCAAAATATCAGAATAAGCAACGCAACGGCAATAAGAAGCGCCACTGAGAGTTTCTTGACCCGCAACCACCAGGAGGAGACTGGTTTCTTGCAAAGACTAAGCATCAAAACAGGCGCTGTGGACTTCATAGGCACTGCAAAAACAGCAACTCCAGATGCACAAGAGAGTTGTTCTGTCTGGTAGAAGAAGAGAAACTTGATTGAGTCCTCCCCTGGTTCTATAGACAATCCTCCACACTGTTTACCCGAGACAGAGATACTCAGCTCCCTTGTGTTCTTCTTAGCAAAGAGCTCTTTGGACAAAGGTTTGGTACCTCCTATGCGTGAGAAACCAGTAAAAGGCTGAAACTCTATGATGTGGACAGGCTTCATAGACAGCCACACAACACCAGATAGATTGTTGTTACTCAACAATGATTTGCCTGGACAAGAAGGAGGCCTGAAGAAAGTGACAACATGATCAAACTGATACTCTGATCCTAAAGCTGGAAGCAAAGAGAAGAGGTGTGAACTGGGACAAACATTCTGAACTGCTACACTCCCTCCACCGTTAAAGCTCTGAAACCTTTCAGCAATAATGTTGTTGGAACCAAGAGAGTCATAGTCAGCCAAGTTGTGGAGTGTGTTGACTGAGGAGAGCAAGAGACATGAGAGAAGCAGAAGACAATGAAAGGCCTTTGATGAACCAAATGCTGCTCCTCTGCAAACACACACACACACAAATCTTTACAACATACCCCAAAAATGCAATTTTTTTTTCAAAATAGTACAGAAAAAGAGATAGTGTCATTTGAAGAAAATCAGAAGCGTTCTATAAACAGTAAAGGGACAAACAAGAGATTGACTATTCCTATTGATAGCGAAACAAAAAAAAAAACTCATAAAAGAGTAGACTTTTCAATAATCAGAGCTAGTGACAGCAGAAACAGAGATTCCAACAACAACAAAAAAAAATCAAAACTTTGAGCTTTATGTAAGAAACAAGAGTGACCCAACAAAGAGAAGGAAGTACCGAAGATGGAAGAAGAAGGAGGAAAGGAGTAGGAGTAGAGGCGTAATCGCTAGGGTTTTGAGGTTCATGTCTGCGAGAAGCATCGAATCATCTAATAGTTAGGACTTATCGTCTGAAATTTCGGAGCTTTTTTTTAAGTTTCTTTTTTCTTTTTTATGTTTTTATGTTTTGTAAGAATTAATCAAAAAAAAGAAAAGGAGCGATTTTGATGATGATAGAAAGAGAGAGCAGACGCCACCTGAGGCGAAGGGAGGCTGAGGACCAATAGACTGGTAAAATTAAAGGAAAGGAGAGGAACAAGATGACATACTCTTCGTAAGAATTTACCTATTTGCCCTCTTGTACTAACCTAGCTGTTTAAATCCCACAAAGGTTGGTCCCTTCGTAAATGGTATGGTGTGTGTTTTTCATCGCTAATTACTTTCTTTATTATTGGCCTTTTCGGACATGTATTTTTTGGGACACAAAATCTTTTTACCAAACCATGTTGTCAATTAATTTATAAAATCTTTGTCTAAATCTCTTTGCTAACTAAACGCTAATAAGTTGGGAGTTCAAATTTTTTTTAAAAATTATGATTTCTATAGATTGATAAAACAAGTTTATAGAAATATCTGCTATCATTTTTAAAAGCTATTTGTTTTAGTTCTGTGAAAATAAAGCATATAGATTATCCATTATAGAATAAAAGTATTTTTATAGTTGTTCCCATAATTATACTATTAGAATCATTTAGATGGGGATAAAAAAAAAATAAAAAACTTTTTTTTTTTCGTTGGCATAATTGCATAGATTATTACCATCAAGATCTTATTACATTTCTTAGTTTGTAGAAATCAGCTTTACGCACATATCCGAGTTATGATTATCATCAATGTATGCCAAATTTAAATCTACAAATATCCTAATTATGATGGTTATTTAATAATAGCAACAACCTTTTTTTCTTACATCAGCTAGCTAACTTAGAAGATTTTGTTGTTGTTTGTATAAATTATAGACCTACTGAAAGCATAGTCTTAATACCAAACAAAATGTGAGAATGTGTCACTTGTATATTCAACAAACGGTCCTAATATACATGGATACTTTCATAAATTGTTTTATGTATTAAAAATATATGCATTTTCGGATTTATTAACTGTTCATCTTACTTAAACATAGTACAGATTCCTTAGCTATTATTTACAAAGTTATTTGACACATGATTTTTCTATGATCAATCTCACTAAAAACAACATGGCATCATATAATTCATCTATTATTTTTGTTGATTGGTCCTAATAAAAAAATTTAGATGTCGATTGTTATTAATCTATTGTTTTTATTGGACTATTAGTTAACATATTTAGATATTTTTAGAAGGATATTCATTTTATTGAATTTCTAATCAAGAAAAGCAAATATAATAGTATAAAAATAAACATAAAATCTTAACCTTATTTGGTTATAAACTCGTTCAAAATCAATATAGTAAGTGATAAATATTATAGTATCAATAATAATATATTTGTTTTTAAAGTGAATTTAGTGAAAAGTATATAACTTAGCATAAATATCAAATTGCCAAAAACACAATATTAATTCTTATAATAAGTTTTTAATATTAAATGAATAAAATTTTATAGAAGTTAATGTATAATATTTACTCAATAAACCTGCACAAATTTATATAGTCATACAAAAACTTTTGAAATATTTGATATGGTTTATGTCAAATGTATATAAACTCACGATCTCTTGTAAATACATTTGGATTAAGCAAATGTGAGTTTACTTAAATGTAAGAGAATTCAATTTTTGTTATTAATGAGATCAGTTATAAGATTTAGTTATATTTAATAGGTTGGACTAAGAAATGAATAGATCCAAACAACTTTTTTAAGTAGATTTTAAAGAATGATAGATTTTTAATAATATAGATTCAGTTAAAACGCATGATAATAACATATACATGATCATTAAATAGATATTTTAAATATGAATTTAAATAATATATAATAATCTACAACTTCTAGAATATTATTTAATTCTATTTTATCCTACAAATTTTATTATTACAAAATTTTGAAATCTTAATATCATTTGCTTTCTTTTGATATCTATAACTTTTAGAAATTCTATATAATTTTTATTTAATTAAATCAATATTTAAATTAAAATATTAGTATAAAAATAATAAATATCTAAGATATTAAAAAATTGATTTTTAAAGATATTTAAATTTTAAAATTGTATCATTGCACATGGTACATGAAAACAGTTAGTATACTTTATCTTTTCATTAGACCAGATATCAATTATAAAAAAAAATGTTGGCAACTGATATAATCACTCGGTAGAATACTATCTCGAATTTTGTTTTTTTAACTTTTTATTCTATTGTTTTATCGAGTAAATATTAATTTTGCCTTATAATGTGTGTTTTCATATATATTAGATTAAAAAATCTTAAAATCACTATGTATATGGTAGGTGAATAACTTGACTAATAGTTAGATATGTGTCCATTCCCAGTTTGAGGAAGTTTGTTAATCCTAAAATGAGCTTAAGTCACCTTCTACCTACCTCGAATATCTATACATCATGTACAGTGTTAACTTCCTTGTATGGTTTCTATATCCAAGAATGTGTATGCTCCAAAACAAAACAAAAAACATAGCTACTGAGTGTATATGCCTAAAATCGAATCCTCTAGACAGAAAAGATATCATGTGTTCAGAATAAATTTTGCTTAGTAACGATCAGTACTTATCTCTCGCATGTGGTATCCTCATTGGAGTCTTGTATACACATAAGCAATATGTACTACGTAATACGTATATCTGAAATTATATTGGCAACCGATTATGTAATATTTACTATAAGTCTATAAACATACTTAAACGACAGAGCTATATATCAACGTTTTTCATTATACATCTTACAACCAGGTTCAGTGGTAATATTAAGAAAACAAATTCAGAAAAGAGAGACAAAAAAATACTTTGCTTGAGACGTGCCATGAAAACCCGTATCAGACTTTTTGGGGGCAAAATAGTAATGAAACAAGTGCGAGGCGAGTGTATTGGACTTTTCTGTGCGTACGACAAAACCGGTACGGTCCGGTACAGTTGCGAAACGGTAACCTCATTAACAGAGTTAATAACGGGGAATCTCGATGCCTAACAGCGTTTATCGTAGTCTAATAAGAGATTCCTCTCGACGTGTTGCCCACAATGCTACGATTCGCGGTTTTGGGCCCACGAAAAGGTCACATCTTTCTAAGATGTAGGATGATCGAACGGCTGAAGATCAAGTGGACCCTGAAGCCGTTTTTAAAATTGAGGAAGGCCATTGACGTATAATATGATATGCATCTGACCAACAAACAAAAAATTAAAATGTATTGACGTATTAATCACACATCAATAATTTACATCTTACGAAATTAATTTGTAGCCAAAGATTCTCTTTATTAATTAACTGCTTACACCAACCGATCCATTAAGTCATGTATTAGACAGCGACCAATATTCTAGGCCCCACAGATTTATAAGTCTCGTCAGTCAGAATCCAGCCCACATTATGTATTAACAATTTAAGTTTTGTTTATGTAATACTCACTAGGTATATGGAATAGCAGAAGCCGGCTTAGAGCATGTGCCATTTGCACTAGGTCCTCTTATTTTCTGGCAATTTTCTTTAGAAAATAGGGTCATGTTTTGATAAAAAAGCACAAAAATTAGGGTTCTCATTTTTAATTTTACAATAACACAACTACAAGTTGGTAGAAATTTTGTTCTAAGAGCACAAGGTCCACAAAATATCTGAGCCGGGCCTTATTATTTTAAGAATTAAATCCCTACTCCCTAGTCTTTTTTGAAAACAATATGTGTGTTAAATTTGTGAAGTTGTAAAGAGCTGAAATTTTGAAATATTAATGATGAAATCTATACATTAATTAGTGAAGGTCTCGACTCTTTAGTCCTTGAAGATGTATCATGCAAATGAAAACGAGAAAGTTGAGGACGTAGATACTAACTAATGGGTTTTACTAAAAACTCATATTGACCAAACTTAGCGGGCCTTCACGTCTAATAACGGCCCAATCAAAACTCAAAAAGTGTGTGGTGCGGGTCGCTGATTTTTAAAAGCACTTAAGCACACTATTAATGGGGGAAAGTGCTTAGTATTTTTGGTCAATAGGTCTCACAAAAAACACTAAGAACTTCTTCTTAAAATGCTTTAATTATTAACATTCATACACCACTTAATATGTGGATTAACCCCAATAAAAATCCTATTTTCTGGAGAAACGAAAACATTTAAGGTCTCAACCTATTTAATATTCATACTATGGCGGTGTATGATGCATCTATGCATTAAAACAAAAATTTTATTTTTTATAAAATTTTTGAAATATGTGGGCTAACCACTATGAAAAAGCTGAATTTTCTAGTTAAATACTTTATATACTATTTACCATCTTTCCTGTTGTTTAAAAAATACCTAAATTCACTCCAAATTTTTATATATATTTGCTAAACTTATATTTATGGTACGTGTGAATCATTTTAAATTTTCAAATGATTAATTTATTTAACATTCAAATACCACTTAATATGTGGATTAACCCCAATAAAAATCCAATTTTCTAGAGAAACGAAAACATTTAAGGTCTCAAACCTATTTAATATTCATACTATGGCGGTGTATGATGCATCTATGCATTAAAAAAAAAAATTCTATTTTTTATAAATTTTTTGAAATATGTGGGCTAACCACTATGAAAAACCTGAATTTTCTAGTTAAATACTTTATATACTATTTACCATCTTTCGTGTTGTTTAAAAAATACCTAAACCCACTCCAAATATTTATATATGTTCGCTAAACTTATCTTTATGGTACATGTGAATAATTTCTATTTTTCCAATGATTAATTTATTTAACATTCAAATACCACTTAATATGTGGATTAACCCCAATAAAAATCCAAATTTCTAGAGAAACGAAAACATTTAAGGTCTCAAACCTATTTAATATTCATACTATGGCGGTGTATGATGCATCTATGCATTAAAACAAAAATTCTATTTTTTATAAATTTTTTGAAATATGTGGGCTAACCACTATGAAAAACCTGAATTTTCTAGTTAAATACTATATATACTATTTACCATCTTTCGTGTTGTTTAANTTTAATATTCATACTATGGCGGTGTATGATGCATCTATGCATTAAAACAA